AAGAGCAGGGCAAGCACCTTCCCCAGGAGACCAACTCCAGGAAAGAAAATATGGCTCCAGGGCTAACATTTGCCCACAGAGATTAAGACCACGAGAGACAAGACAGAGGACACAAGGGATTCACAGGTGGTTTGATGGCTGAGACTTGTCTTGCTTTCTATCATGGGAAGTTCGTAGGCAGTGGTGGCCCAGGAAATCCATGCTCTCTCTTTCACCTACAGCCCCCTCTTATTCCCTAGGAGCCCAGGAAACTGGGAGTGGATGGTTTGAAACAAGGGGAGGGAAAATAAAAAGATTACACAAGACAAATAAGTGGAACCAAAACCCCCACACAATAGAGAAGATTCCTTAAGACTTGACTGCAAGTTAAGACTTGTCCTAGCTGAGCCCTTTTCACACCATTAGACCTACACAAGGATTTTCCTTTCCAACCTTTTGTATCAACAGCCCCCAGCTCCCTGGCTTTGTGAGGGGATTCTGGGCTCTGAGAAGCTCTACAGTCACTGTTGCCAGTTTCATGAATAAAAGGATGTGTTTTTCCTGAAGCCCTCTTGAGTTGATTTTTTAAAAAATAATTTCTATATTAATATAAATACCTCTGCTGCCTTCCCATAGCCTCTGAACTACAGAACAGAAGGCACATTGTTTATTTATTTTAAGAAGGACGTGGGAGGTGGGGGAGAAAATTTCATCTAAGTTTTTCGTAATATCCTGCTTGGTGCCCTATTTCCTCAGCACCTCTCAATGCTGCTAGTTAAAAATTGAATAAAAACATGAGACTTTCATGCTATTTTACAGCATTTATAGCGTACTTGAGAATATATCAGGTGTTGCACTCTAGTTTCACAGCAAGAAGCACGTTGCCAACTAAACCTGCAAACTTACTAGTGCTGCTGAGATGAATGTACTCTTCAGAGTTTCCAATTTAGAGATAGGACTTAACATGGAGCTTCAGTCAACTCCAGCAAACAGAGTACAATGCAACTCAGTTATTTCTACAGTGCCAGAAATGCTCTAGGTAGTCTGAAGAACTGTGAGGTTTCAGCTCTAAATGAGAGGCAAACTCATCACAGGGACTAAGAGGCATAAGAAAAAGAGCAACAAATCAAGCGACATCCACATGCACCACAGGAATTTCTTGTGTGATTTGTTTAGAAGTTATTGATATTTTTCAAACATGTCACGCAGCAATTTCAGGGGAAGACCAAGTTTCATTAAAAGTCTTCTGGAAAAGCAAAAACAATCTTCAGACAGGCCTACAATAGCAGGGCTGTGAGAAGCTTATTAGCTTAGGGAAAGTTATTTTAGTGCGTTCCCATTTTATTCTCAGAAATATGCAATAACACATTGCATCTTTATTCGATATTTTGCACTTTGTGATACGTCTGATCAGTGATGCAAAACATCCTTAACTTTAAGTGTCTGCATCAGGAGGCTCTCAAAGCAGAGAGACTTGTATACAACTGCATCTTTCATTTACAACATGATTTGTCCAAGTTGCTTTTAGATGTTTCCAAATTAAATAGTTATGAACAATTTCATAACTAAATGAATTCTATTTCCCTTTCCTTCCCTAACTCACAACTATTAGCAAGAAGAAATTCTTGAGTTAATTCTGTCTTGGTGGCAGGCTTCCAAAATAACTTCTATAAAGAAAAAAGATTTTTATCTAAATTATATTTTCTTCTAAGCAGTTTTCTGAATCATCTATTTTCCAGGTAATAGAGCCCACAGCTAACAAATATATCTTATTGTTAAGATATAAAAATACATGCACTGCTATTGTTTCACATACCTTTGAAAAGTTACAATTCTCATTCTGCTTAGGCTTAATTTTAACGACCACCAAAACCATTGTCTTATAATGCAAGCTCTGCAGTGCTAGAAAACAAAACTAAGCTATAGAGACACCTATTTTTAAATTGCTTGTTATTTGCAGGGCTGAAGAATCTATGAGTCAGTTTGCTACATTACTCGATATTAAGCAGCATCAGGCTAAGACTTTGATTGTTCATAATTCTTCCATCTTATTACAATATGTCAAGTAGAATCAAATGTCTTGAGAAAAAAAAAATCTATTAAGCAGACAAATATCTCCCCCTCCTTCCACAAGCACATAAGCATTTCCTGATGCACCCATGGAATCATTTCATCAGAAATCCTACTAGATTTTATTGCAGAAAATTCTGATTTTTTGGTTTTTGGGCATACAAAATACTTTGCCCATGGGGCTACTTAACCAAATCCTTCTGCAGTTTACTTGAACTCACCTATCTTTAGCCTACTACCCATAAAATCTGACACAAGAACAGGTCGAAACCAAGACACCTATCTAACGATAGCTTCCAACATTAAAGTATTGCAGGGAGTATCAAGTTTGTCCCAAATATTTTTGCTACTTTAATTTCTTACATTTTTCAAAAATCATTCCTTCCAATCCCATTCTTACTAGTGTATTTTAGCATCTCACTTTTTTTTTTAAACTCTTGTTCTGCAGATAATTTCCTCCTCTGGATATTTCTAAGCATTACTCAGAGCATTTTAGTGGATTCTTTCACATCAGCTGCTAATTCAGAATCTGCTTCTATGTTTTGGAAAGTTTACTCCATCAGGCCCCAAAACAGCTGACTGGTTTGTACTTGAAACAGAACATGTCAGAAATCTAGAAACCAAACAAAACCCCCAGGCCCCCAGCCTTTCCTGTCAATGAGTGAGGAGGAAACCTGCCTTAAAACTGGAAGGCAAGGGGAGGAGTCAGTGACAGCCACCAAGCAGATACAGAAATGTTGATTTTTATCTGATCAGTTGCATTATCAGAAAAAAAAAAATCTGTCCTGGTCACAGACTTGATACATTTATTACCTTTGGCAACATACACATTGATACAACAACAAAAAAAGTGGGGGCGGAAGGGCTTAAATCTGAAACAAACACACAAAAAGGGCAAATCTTCAGCTGGTGAGAACTGATGCAGCTCTACTGAAGAGAGCACAACAGCATTGATTAAAGCCATCTGAGGATCACACCTTTCAGAATTTAACCTGCATAGATATTTTTTTTCTTCTTCTTTTTGGCAATACTTAAAGTATAGTTATGCCAGTAAGGCACATGAGCTAGCCTAAACTAGGTGTCTACAGTGATTATGTTTGTGAAGAATCACTGACCAAACTGAGCCACAATGTAAACGGGTGCATCCCCTACCCTCAAGAGGGGTTACACCTATTTGTAACAATGCTAAGCTTGATCCAAAAGCTGCAGTACTGAGGACACGCTACAGGACACAAGAGCTAAAATATCTAATTTAGGGCAACTGAAATAACTACTGAAGAGGCCAGAGCACCAGGTTACAAGAAAAACAGGACAAAGGTCTTGGATAGTACAGTGGGTAGGGTGCAAAGAAGGTAAGAGTGACTGTAGAGACCCCAGAGCACAGTGCTCTCCTCCACTGGTTCACAGCGTTAATCTTCCCCATTAGCAGTTGTAGGGCTGCAAACAGGCCACTGAAAATCAGTAGTTTCAATCATGCACATCATTATGTGTGTAAAACAATCACAGTCAGGATTCTACAAAACCCTGGCTTTTTTTTTTCCAGTGAAATAATTTAGGTAATAAATATTCTCCATCCTGGAGCTGTATAAAACTTCTATAAAAATAGAAACAACATTCTTGGTTACAGCAGGTTGCACTTGGAGCAGCTGCTCCCAACCATGTTTTTTTTTTTTCCTCCTTTTTTTTTTTTTTTTCTTGAAAAGTATATTATTTATAAAAAAATCCCATCATCACCCTGGAGGCCTTCACACTCCAACACTCTCTTCTCAGAAAACCAGGACACATCTCTCCCATTGTGCAGAATTCAAGTGTACATGGTTCACTTAAGTGTATGCTTATGTTTCTAGAGAGATCCAAATAAATAACACGGAAGGGTACCACATGCCAGCATAAATGGGACATTTGGCAGTCTGGCCTTTCAACCATTTCCACCAAAGGATGATCTGAGCACTAATAGATTTATTTGACCTTTCTGCCATAAAAAAAAAAAAAAAGAGAGACAGATTGATTTCAACTAACTGTTTAGCTGTTTAACAAGAAAAAGGATTTTTCTTGAATAGTCTGGTCAGGCCTTGTACTTTGAAGGTTGGAGATCCCAGGAAACTCAGTCCGTGCCAATGCCTGACATTCCCAATGGACTGCAGCAGAACCTCTTGCACATGGGCACCCATATTCTGAACATGATTTCAGGTTTGATGAATTCAGTGCTCCTCCTGCTGGAGCAGGACAGAAAGCCCAAACCCCAAGTCCGACCCCACACTCATTTAGCAGCTGGCTCCCAGACTGCAGTGTTATCTGGTGCCCTAGGAAACAGCATCACAAGCTGGGAATATAAAGGAAACAAGGAAATAGAGAAAATATGAGGTAAATAGAACTTCTGTCAAAAAATACATAAATTGTAAACTTCCTCTTCAGACAGAGGTGGATTTTGGTGGTTATAACATGGGACTCTACTCTCACTTCTTCAAACGACTCAGGCCAGAGTGTCAAAAATCCTTTGAGTCCCCCAAAACCAGTGTATAACAAGGCCCTTGGCAACACATTAGCATTTCATAAGTGTGCAAAAAAAAAGCATATATTCACTGGAGGGTTGTGTTGATTTTTTTTCTTCAATATAAAAGATAACAGCTGATGCCAAAAGGCAGAATAAGACTGGATGGCTCAGTGCTCTGCTATGGTTCAACAGCTCCTGGGTTATTCCTGTTTTGCACTGGCACACATCACCTTAAAGGAAAACTGCAGTTTAATACCTAAATACTAAACCACTCCACAAATTATTATTATTATTATTTTAAATAATTAACAAACAAACAGAGTAATACTGAAAAAGCAACTGTCATGTGAACATGTATGAAGCAGGAGTCTCAAAGAGTTGTTTTAGGGTAAACACTTGGCTTTGTGTATATTTAACAGTCATTTCAATAGAGGAACAGTCTTATGCTCATCAGAATGAATTCAAAGTAATGCTCTGCAGAAGGACATTACTCCACAGATAGGGGGAATTTGAGAAAATCTCAGGAAAAATATATAGCAAAAAATATTCCTTGATTGTCAGGGTTCTGCAGTTTCTTGTTTCCAGCCCTATTTGTATCCATCCCTCCAGATGAAGCTGTCTAAAGTTTTCTACAATACCTAGCTGAACTATACAGGGATAATTTTCCCTAAGCACAGAGCAATTCACTGCATCTCACTAATATTCAACAGTAAATGGCAGTGAAATTTTCTGGGCTGAGACATTACTTACTTTATGAAAGTGCTGCATATGTTCACAGTGCTACATAAACATCACTTTATACAGCGCAAAAAAAAACAAACAAAAAACAAAACCCAAAAACTGCAGTTTTCCTTTAACTCATAAATGTGTTCACCCTTCTAGCCTATGTCCTGCTTAGAGATGAATTATTAAACCCCCACAAAGGCATAGAAATAAGGAAGCTTCAACGAGTGGGGCATGACAAAGGCTATGTGGAGTCTGTTCCTTGCTCAGCCAGACTTGGATGGACTCGGGTCTCCTTTCTCATCATCCTTGTTTTCATTAGCTGTTCAGCGTTATTTCTGCTTCCCCTTCTCCTCTCCACCCCAAGGCAGTGTGGTGTTGGTTTCTGCTGCTCCCCTTTACCTTACCTCTTCACCCCCAAGGAGCTGGCATTGGTCCTTCTCAACACACACTGGTTACAAACACAGCAAACTTTAAATAAGGGAAAAAAAACCTCAGCGATATGGCACCTAAACTCCAAAGTAAAACACTGGAAACAAAAGCACAAACTTGTCCTCCATCCGAAGCAGGATTCCCAGCAGAGGTTGCAGCCGAGTCTTCAGGGGAAGATGTGCCAGATAGAACGGCATGGATCAGCTTCCAGGACTGCAAAAACACAGCCTTAGGGCTTCGAATCACTAAGCGCGCTCCTCCCCAACTTACCAGAAGATCCTTCTCACTCCAGTCCCGGAGGGGAGGGCGCTCAGTATGGCTTGCTGTCGTTCTTGGAGCGCTTCAGCTGAACTTTCAGACGCTTCATGCCAATCTGAAAGCCGTTCATTGACTGAATGGCAGCCTGTGCAGAGACGGGATTGTCGTAACTCACAAAACCTAGGAAAAGAAGATATAAAATTATAGCACAGTTCTCCATAATGGCTACTCACGACCGGAAATGTAGGCTATATTTCATTCTATATTTCCTTCCAGGGAAAGGTCATCTTCCAGGTTTTGAAGAAACCTATCTTAGATAGCAGCCATCACCTGGAGTTATCGCTGCCTACAGAGCTCATTCCGTATACATTCCTCAGTATTTTGTCTTTTAAAAGACAGCTTGATAGCATGTTCAGCATGTTTTGATTACCCAATACTAGAAGATACAAGATATTAAGTAGACACAACGCTACCATGGAAAAAAGGCTGACCTCCATCACAGAAAATCTCCCCTAGCATAAGACCTTACTGAACTCCAAAAGTGACACATCTGCTCTCCCTGGGGTTTCAAAGAGGGGAAAACAAACACACAAATCTTTCATTCCATTCTACTTCTACTATTCAAGCTGTTGTGGCAACACAAACTTAAGAAGTTAACTGAAAATAATCTAATTGGATAATAACAAGAGTGACAGGCTGATTTTCAATTTTAGAATACATTTCCTGCTCTGTTACCTGCTTCCAATCCAATACATGCTAAGCAAAGCAAAATTAGGATGAGAAATGCAACATCAAATGGGTAGCAAACAACAGCTGAAATTATTTTATTTAAATGACAAAGACTTCAAAAACTAGAAGGAAGCTTTAAAGATTGCCTTTTGAGCATTTACAGAATCAGAGGTAAGTGCTCCCTATTGTATTATACATCTAATATAAAAGTATAAATAGAAATAATTCACAATGATTATAATAAATGCAAGTAATATGCATATCAACATAAATAATTATTGAAAAGGTAGAAAGAGGCAGAGGAAAAACTATATCAAGATTACAGTTTGCAAACACCAATCATGGTGAATTACCTAGTATACCTAATGGTATAGTGAGGCAGAATAATATAAAATTAAGGGGAAATTCACATAAGCAGGAGGAAAATACACTTTATTACTGGAAGAGTTTTTTTTTTTTTTAAAGTATATGAAGAAAGATTCAGTATGTAACAGCTAGATAGCTTTTTAAAAAAAAGTATATGAAGAAAGATTCAGTATGTAACAGCTAGATGTAACAAAAAACTGGAAAAGAGATTACTAACAAAAACAAGCCACAGATTCCAAAGGCACGCACTGCAGCGAGGCCCAATTTGCAAACAGAGCACAGTAGATAACAGGATGGGAAAACTCAGTGAGTCACACACACCAGTGTAGATGACATCACTTAATGTTGTGGTCTTAAAATGTAGAACTTCTTAAATTAAGCAAACAAAATAGTTAAAAGTATTTCAGAAAAGTAAACACATAGTTGTCATTACTGTCCCTTGTCTCTCCCTATGAACTTCAAATATTTTCCCCCACACACAAAGAGAAACTTCAACTTCTAATTTCCAGCTAACCTGGTTTCTACCGTGCATTCCCTTCTACAGGTAATGATTAGTCCCAACATACCAAAACACTTGCTTAAATTGGTCTGCTTGTCAATGAAAACCTTGGCAGAGACGACATTTCCAAATGGCATGAACATCTGCAGCAGATCCTGGTCTCCAAACTCCTGGGGGAGATGGTAGATGAACAGATTGGCTCCCTCTGGACCTGCGAACAATAAGTAGAAATGTAAGTCCAGAAGAAAGCATGGGTAACATTGGCCTACTTCACAAAAGAGGTGAAAGAACCATTCAAGCCAACTGAATCTTCCACAGAAAACACCTGTGCTGTGGACACTTCTGCAGCATACTTGATTCCAGAATGAGTCAGCGTGATCTGTTACTGGGACTGACCATTCAAATAATTCTAGTTCTTCTTCCAGCATCTTTTGCCTGTAATTTCCATAGTATATAAAAACATGCTTGCAGATCTCTGCTGTAAGAAAGGCCAAGTAAAAAGCCTGAGGCCCAGAGGCTGACAAACAAAAAACGACTGTTGCAAAAAGTGACTAAAATCCCAATAAACTACAAGTAGCCATACTATCTATATTCTCTTGGTTTAATCCCTTGCTCTATTTTTTCTCTAATTGTTCTGTTTAAAAAATCTATCCTCATGCTCTTTGTTATTTTACACGCTAATCAAAGGAGCAAAAAAGATCAGCGTTAAGGACATGAGGAAAGACACAGTGTTCAAATTCAAAAATACCAGGAAAACTGAATTAAGAAAAACACAACTAATTCCCTGACAATGGGATTTGTTAGACTGAAGACCCACACTCTCCTCGGAGGACGCAGAGGGGGTACTATTACTAAGTATTTAAGGCAAGACAATTCAAGGACAAACCTAACATCTTCTTTGGATAGCTCTTAACAAAGGAACCATAAAGATCTTCCTCCTTTATCTTCTGAGACTCTAGAATGTTAAATTATGCTCTGCAGATAAAGTGGCTGCAAGGTTTGGGCTACCTCTCTGAAGCAGCTTGCACAACTTGCTGCCTACCTTCTTTTTGACTTCCTGCTGCACCAATACTCTGCTGTGTTAAGAGACTCTGATTATAGAGCGTGGGCAGCGCGGCGGCAGCGTATTGCTGGATTCCGGAATAGGCCTGTGTGAGGGCTTCCATTGTGCTACCTGTCCCATTGGAGAGACCGCTACTGCCAAGGCCTCCATTTAATGCTGCCATTCCTGTACGGGAAAGAGAAAATAAAGATGATGGACTACTTGCCACTGAGCCAGATACAATAATGCAGAATACTAAGAGTTAAAGAGGCAGAGAGCAGGAAAAGGCTGAATTAGCACAGCTTCAGAAACACTAAGCTGCTATTTCCTCTACTCACCAAAACACACAGCTTACCTGCTAGAGAGCTAACATTGAGGCCTGCAGTAGCCCCTGCCAGTGTTTGCAATGCTCCAAGAGAAGCCATTGGGTTAACAGAAGAGCTGCTACTGGAGCTAGGTGAAGAACCTGCTATTAAAATAAGATAATTAAACCTCAAACAATGTTTCTTGGTCTTGACAGTAAGCTTCCTCATAAAATAATTCCTATAGAAAAAGCTAGCACTGATCAGACCAAGGCAGAGTATAATTCATGTCGAAAAATCCCAAACCCAAAACCTCATCGATCACTTATTTAACCCTTTCCTGTGTTTTCAAACAAAAATTTACAATTTAATAAAGAGTAAGACACCTAACATTCAATCAATATATGCTAAACTTTGTTCCTCAACATAAAATGATCAGCAGCAATGCCTGTTTCCTGCTGACTAAAGTGAAATAAGAATTGCTAGATATTAACATCTCTCCTTGAAACATCACACAAAGTGAAAAAAAAATGAAACAGACAGTAGAGACACTAAAGAAAGCCCCAGTCAAACTTAGCATATGGTTTTTCCATACTGACAGAGCAGGAGCAGCAGATGCCTAGGTTGTTCTGACGCATGAAATAATTTTTCACTATAAAAATCCTGCTGCAGCAGTCAGGGCTAGGGTCCAGAAAAGTCTTGGAACACATATCCAAAATACAAAGTCTATTCTCTATCGACTGTGACACACACATCCTCAGCCGTGTTATTCACTAAGCTAAGCAGACTAACAGTTTATTTGGCCTGACAAATTTTACAAGAGTGAGTGAGTTCTAGATGAACAGACACCAAAATCAAGAGACTAAAGCTTGCCAAGCTGGTATTATCAAACGTAACAGGTTCAAGTTTAGGTCACCACAAAGATTATTGACATGATAATTTTTATCATAGATTACCACTTAAAAGTTTGGTAATAGTAAATAAGCAGTAATGGTAAGTTTGGTAATAGTAAATAATTACAGCAGATGTAGGTCTTCTAGTAATAGAAAAACCATAGTGATTCTACACTAGAAAAACTTTTAGTGATTCTACAAATTAAAAGACACTGAAAATTACTGGTATTGGGGAATCTTATAGCCAACTTTCTGGAGGACCTTCTCTGTCTGACCGGCGGTAACATAAGAATCAAGTTCAGGCATTTGCTGTTTCCTTCTTGTTTTTGTAATACTCAGTACACTTTGTATACCCATCAAAACTTTGAAAAGAATTTCCCACATTTTTCACCCAGATTTGCATGCACTACATCCTCATCACCTCACAGACGTTATACAAAATCTTGGCTGGAGAGGAATATAGTAACTATTTAAGTGAAATAATGCACACTTGCCAAGTGAGGGCAAAGTAAAACCTTGTAGCCAACGAAAGCTGCGTGAGAACCCAGAGAACTACACTTCAAACAGTGCTGCAGCTTTTGTGCTGACTGAGGAAGTGACAAATCTCCCCTGGGAAAAACTGTAGACAACTCTAACAAGGCAGAAACTGAAAGACAGCATCCAGATATACATTTCAAGATGCTGAGGAAAAAGGAAACACTTCCTGTGTTACTACCTGTAGCACATTAAATCTAAAATGCAGAGGACTAGTTACCATCTATTCTGTAAGTTAAAAAAAAAAAATAGCACAGTTGGCCTGAATAAAACCCAGCATGGCACAGTCACCTCAATTTTAGAATATGATTTGTTTCTGCAACAGCTCATTGCTAAGCTGCATAATGCAAACTGACACTTCATTTGAGACAGACAAAACACTATTTCAAAAAGGCAGTGGTAGAGGCAGAAAAATGAAGCCAAGGCTACAAAACAAAGACAGAGAAAATATATTTCTTGCCTACTTTAAAAGGGTCATAATTCTGTATCAGTTCATGTATACCACTACAAAGAAACTGAACACACAGGTATTATAGTGTAGCTAACTTGATCAGAAATGTGTTTAAGGAAAACATGTATATGTCCTGAAAATATAAAGAAAACTTAACACTGCATGGCTTGCTTTCTTTATTATATGTACATACAAATGAGTCAGGCAGAAGTTCACCTAACTCGGTATCCCATTTCTTAGGGTGACTAGAGGCAGTGCATAATGGCAGAGCACAGACACAGCGCAGTGGCAAAGCAACGCTTTGTAGGCAAACTCTCACAGCTTCCAACAACCTGTGCCTCCAGGCTTCTCCAGCTGAGGAAAACAACTTCATATTTAAGTCTTTGCTTATGATTTTCATTCACAAATTTCAGAACATTTGAAGTCCTCAAACTTTTGGCTCTCCTATATTTTGTGGCATTGAAATTTAAGATTTAAACACACATTATAGGTGAAGAAACATTTTTTGCATTCACATTTTCACCTGTCAGCTGAAAACCTCATTTGATATCCTGGAGTTCTTGTCTTGGAAAATTCAGTGACTAATTTTTCCCTATTTATCTTTATCACATCACTAATATATTTATAAGCTTCCATTATATCTACCCTTCTGTGTCACCAATCTATTTTGCTGGCCATTTAGTTGCTCTTAATGGGGAAGGAATTCAACAGTTCTCGTAGTTCTAGTATATTCTTTTAGCTTAAAAAAAAAAAAAAAATCACCCCACCTATTTATCTTTATCACATCACTAATATATTTATAAGCTTCCATTATATCTACCCTTCTGTGTCACCAATCTATTTTGCTGGCCATTTAGTTGCTCTTAATGGGGAAGGAATTCAACAGTTCTCATAGTTCTAGTATATTCTTTTAGCTAAAAAAAGAAAAAAAAAAATCACCCCACCCAGCACACAGTAACAGTAATGGAAAACACTGAGTTTATACGTATCTTCCTCTTACCTCCTAATTTTTAGCATTGTTTCACTTTTTTTTTCGCTTGCTATTAAACTTACATTTTCTTAGAAATATCTGTTGATTTCTATCTAGTGATTTATCTTGTCATGGTACTTCCACAAGACACAGACCTTTATGCACATGTTCCCTAAGGGGGGTACATTGTCAAAAGCAAGAGTCCAAACCTAACACTGATTATGCTCATTCAAGCTGTGTATGTAAAATCATGCTCCAAGACCTCGTCCTCTCATATGCAATAATAAAAAGGGCAGAACATGCTCTTCTCTCTCAATTTCTGTCAGACAAGGGAAAACTCAAAAGAATAAATAGTATTCTAAAGTGAAAAGGCAGCAGAGAGCAAACACACGAATGGACCCCAATGGCCACTGTACAAAGGTCAGCTATTGGAACAGCACATTAAGAAATCACTGTTAATTTGAATTATAGCTGAACAGACCCTTAGGAAACAAAGGATCACTATTAGATTATACCCCAGTGTGAAACATCTGCAAGATGACCAAAATGTTCTTTACCCTTTCTACTGTGAACATAAAGAATTAATAAGAATTCTTATAAAGGGTTTTGCACTCTCTGATGATATAAGATGATGGTATAAGAATCAAGGAAAACATTATTACTTCTACAGAGGAAGCACAGCATATACAAAAGAAAAAGTTAAAACGATTCATCTCTCAGGATAAATAGGAATCAGAAATCACAGTTTCACTGTGTTGTCATCTTCCCTACCTTTTTGGCTGAAGGGCCAGCTATTGGGGATACTGCCATCGTGAAAGAGGAGATCAGAAGGCATTGCAATCATCAGCTCAAAGGGCTTTCCAGTCAGAAGGAAATTGGCTAGATTTAAAGTTTCCACTGAAAGGCACTGCTCGTAACAGGAGCTATCTTAATGATCAACAAAAGAAGCAAGATCATCCTTATTTTGAGGATGTATGGCCAAAATAGCCGGTGAATGAACTCCAACACTGAAAGAACAGGGGGCTTTCAAAATTTTTTACTAAATAGGAAAGAAGATCTGGAAAAGATGATGAAACTAGGACAGGGATATTAACTATGAACTTTTTGAGGCAAACAGATTAAGGGATTTTCCTGATGCTTGTCTGGGAAGAATAAGTCTGTTCTAACTCAATCATCAAGCATCCAAGCAATGAAGTAAAGAGCATTAAAATTCAGGCAATTAACCTGACAAAACTGTACTAGTAGTAGTTCCAGTAAGAAAGAATCAAACATCACTAAAAACAATATTGCTGAAGACACTCTATGGTCACTAAAATTATCTAGTCTTTGTTGGACCCTGCTTTGATGGTTGCCTCTAAAAGGAGGAAAAAGGAAAAGGGGAAAAAGAAGAATGAGCATTTCCACACACGTGATCTTGCTCTGGAGAAGACAATTGTTGATGTTCAAATGAAAAAGATGGCTTCCAAGGTGCTCCAGTCCTGAAAAACTTTCATAATATCATTTTTGAATGTCCAATTCACAAATCAGCAGTTTAAATGAAAGATTATCTGCTAAAATCATAGTGTCTATAATATGGATTACCCTTAGGTGAATGCAGCAGTAAACTGTTAATTTCCAAAGGGAAGATTTGACAGCTGAAGGAATTTTGATTTTGCTTCATGTTGTTCTATGTTAGAAACCATCCCCTGCATGTGAAAAATCAAAAAAAAAATCAAAAAAAAAAAAGACCTGAAATGTGCAGGAAGACAGCACAACAAGGATACTTAACACCTCTGAGTTCAACAATCCTGATGGGTATCCTGGGTCCAGTCCACAGAGCCTGTACTGTGTGACCTTCCAAGCAAGCTCCCCAACAGACAAAAGATTATCAGTGCGGATGAAAGAATTCAAGTGTTCCTAGGGATGGTCTGGATTTTTCCACCTGCTATGTAATTTGAGGACAGTCTGGGATACATGTCAAAATAAGCATCAGGTGAACATTTGGATGACAGATGGATAGAATTGTCAAGCCAGTAGTCATCTCATCTGCAGTTAGGTCTAAGAGGTTATCACAGTGGATGTTGCCATGTGTCCTGCTTAGACAAGTCATTTACATGGCACTGAACGGCTATATATTGATTTTTCTTTTGAGATCTAAGTATGGTTCAGCATGGATGCTCTGGCTAGTGTGAAGTCTAACAGCATTCTTCTGTGTGAACACACACAGCGTGAACACACACATAATCAACCTCCAGTTTGCTTTCGCAACAGATAATAAATAGATTGTGCAGAGTGAGGAGCTACAATGATTTATAATGAATAATAGGAAGAGATATTATGAACCCAAAGTGTTGCCCATAGTCATTGAGGCCCCCCCTCACCCTTAATTTAGGTATAGTTTTTAAAAGGTCGAACACATTCATCTCTAATGAAAAACCCTAAAACCTTCTGATTGTGATAGATCATACAGACCACATATCCTCCAGAATTTCTTCTTTTTTTCCTCCTTTCTCTTGAACAAAGCTAATCTCTTCTCTTTGAAGATAGCACATATTTTTTTTAGCCTAAGAGTAATACAGTAGTGACTGCTTCAGATTGAAGAAAGACTGCGAAGGGTAAACTATTACAGCTCTCTAGGATATTCACTCAAGACTCATTTACTGTCATGACAGGTTATCATAAACTTGCTTAGATTGAGAACAGATGGTCCTTGAAAATGGACCACTGTTCCCCACCACCTAGCTCCCTGCCAGTCAGTGTGATTAAACAGGTAACAGAAACCCAAGACAAGTCTGGGAACAAAACCTGCAAAATGCTGTGGGACATTCTCAGAAGACAAAATTCACAGAGACCAACCAATCCCAAAGAATCATAAAATCACAGCGCAATTTCTGAGGATCACCTATTCCAACTGTCCGCTCAAAGCAGAGTTAACTTCAAAGCCACATCCAGCTGTTCTCGGCTTTGTCCAGCTGACTGATTGCGCAGCCCCTCTGGATACCTGGTTCCTGTATTCATGACTCATCATTAATTATTTTCCTTTATATCCAGGCAGAATTTTCACTGTTGCAACTTGTGACTGTTGCCTTTTGCTGTGCACTTCTGGGGAGAGTCTGGCTCTGTCTTCTGGAGCATGTGCGAGGCATCTGAACTCAGTGGAGGATGGAGCCAACAAGGGAATTTTGGCTCTAAAGGCCAGTCATAGCTAAAGTAACCTGACCATATCAGCTCTGCTACTACTTGAGGAAACATGGGGGGAATTCGCAATTACATCCATGTTCATGCTTTCTCCAAGAGAAAGCAGCAGAAGGTTGTAAATACAGGATAACTTTTGGATTTTTTAACTTTAAGGATCACAGGCCACATTTTTTTATTTTTCCAAATGGAGAAAACTCCATTAACAAGACTCCTTGAGCTCTCTCTCAGGGATTTGTCAAGTACAAAGCTGGGCAAAACACTCACAGTTTAATTCCCGATCTTGTGATATAAGGGTTTCTAAGCAGCTTTTCTTCTTTATAACCTATTATTCTGGTTCTGTATTCCTCCAACACACTGCAAAAAGCATTCCTCTCCTATTTGTTGTGTTTAATGAGCCTGTTTTACAATAAGTTATCAAGAGGAGCTCGTTTAGAAAACCTAGCCTCTCTGGATAACACACATGGCCTGAAGAAAGAAAACCAACCAACCAACCAACGGAAGGACTCCCAAGGCAGCAGAAGGCGCAGGCCTCTTACCTGAGCTGGTGAGCACGCTCAGGGGGCTGCTGGAGGAGGTGAGCGCAGCGGTGCCGCTCGGCGTGTTCTGCGCCGCGCTCGCTGCAGCTGCGAGAGCAGCCAGGTTCTGTAACTGCATCGCGTTCAGGCCTGCAACACAGGGAAGAAGGCAGCGAGAAGGCTCATCAGATCCAGCAACCTCAGCACATCATAAGGCCATCAGTCAGTATAGAGATGAACATAAAAAAATAAAAATAAAGGCTTCAATACTAGTTCTTGACAGTTCCACATAGCAATCTCTTGCAAATACTCATGATTCCAGATTCAGACTCCAGAAAACAATTTCCAAGCAGTGCTTTTCCTCTCAAAAAAATTCTTAGTTATAAGTAAGATGCTAAGTCTGGGAAGATGTTCCAGTGTTAATGAACTTCTAGATGATAATATACTCATCTGTCTCATCTTCATTTTGAGTGACGATTTTCAAATAAACCATTCAGTGAATACAGAGAAAGCAGTTTGCCCTAGATTGTCCAATACTGATATGCTTCTCAAGACATTTGTGTTTTACCCATCCTTCAGTAAGCTAGCTCCATTCCTCCTGTTCTGCCTCTCCTCCTTTCTCCTTACTTCCATCTTGTGTCTCTACCTTTGCTTATTCTAACAGCTTCTCCTCTTCTCATCTAAATTCAGCCAATCCCTAGTATTTTTCCCCCCACAGACTTGATTTTGGATTTAATTTCAATCACCATTAATGGAACAACCACCAAAGGTAGGTGTGGCATCTACCCCTCTTTTGGATGCTCAGGAAGTACCTAGTAACAAAGCACACATTCCAAGTGATTCAATTCTCTGTTTGGAAATAAAGTGGGTAAATGGATAACAGGAAAATGTAAATGGACAATGATCCAATGCAATATAAACTATCTGCTCAATAATTTCTAAGTATTTAATTTGTTGTGTTTTATAATTATTTTCTCTTTGTGGCAGGATCCGTTTCTTAAACAGAATTTAATGTCTCAAACAAGAGGATTGTGACTATTTAGATTCTCAATGTGCTACTGTAACACAAAGAACAGCATGAAGTTAAAACAGGAAAGGTTTGTGGTTTTTATTGTGCTATAGAGGGTTAGAGCTCCTCAAGAGTTGGAGCTACTGAAGGATAGAGCAGCTTGCTTCCTTTCTGAAGCAGTTTGGCATGTGTACACTGCACCTGTCCTCTTTTCATCACATTGTTTTCCCATCTGCTTTCAAATAGGGTCAAAATTAAATGTTGTCTGTTAAGTCTGATAGAGAGATTTCTTTCTATGAATTTTGGGAAAGAAATATCTTAGCTGAGATATTAATGACACTTTTAAGCTGTAATGTTTTTGGTGAAGATCTGGACTTTGAATAATTATTTCAAAGCACCATGAAAGACTCTCATTTCAATTTGCTATATACACACACACACACAACGGGGTTCTCGATTTTTATGATATTCCTTAAGCAATGAAGACAGAACAACTCAGAAAGCTTTATATGCAACCTCTAGACCCCAAGATCCTTATTGCACTAATAAAACCCCACAAAAACAAAAATCAAAAATCATACAAAAAATGCTATTTTTTTCTCCTTTATTGCTGCTTTAAAATCGAAGCGAGGGGGAAAAAGCATCATGTTCATTAGAAAAATCTATAAAGATTACTACCACATAGAAAACAGGATAGTAAAATACATTTTTTTAAAGTTTGCTTCTACTAAGAGACTTAGACCTGAGAACTCTGTAGAGGTCTAACATGAAGAAAAGATAAAACCTAAGAGACATTGGTTAGAATTAACCTCAAATGTAAATACAAATTCTTACAACAAAGAACATAACACTTCAAAAGGTTTTAGCTGTTACTGATGGGCATACAAACACAAGTCAGATACACAAGAGACATTACTTTCATAGCAGTTTTAAATTAACTTCTTTGCAGATGCAGCATGTAATATCTTGAACTACTCTGTATTTCTAGAGGCAATTTTAAAAGCTTAAAAAAATCAGCATTAAAACCATAATTAGAGGTGTTTTTCCCTGCAGATAAGACTGCAGAATACAGGGAATGGGGTTACTAATATGGGTTTCACAGACAGAAGGGACAATAATTTGTAGCCACAGTTTAGAAACTTAAGATAGAATGTGCTATCTCCACATCCCTAAAAGATCTAAGTTCAACTTACTCCAGATGTCTTCGCTTATATTATTTTCATCTGCTATACTTGATGAATATTCTGACAAGCATTCTATAGCAAGGAATTTGGTTCATATGTTCGATCAATTAAATCAGTATGTCCCTCCTTCTAGCAATATTGCAATCAATCATGCAACACAAATTCAGGAAATATCCTGAAAGAAGGACTAATTCACTTCCCTTGCAACACTGCATTTCCAGCTTTAAGCCATTTAACAAAAAATATTTTCAAACAGGAAACCTAAAGAAGCTATGATCACTGAAATATAGGTACCAAGGTGTTTATTTCAAAATACAGTGTTTCAAATCTGTAACTGTTTGAACAAATACCAGAGCTAGGGAAGATTAACAGCATACCACAACTTACCTTGGGGACAATGATTAACTAAGGTTAAGAAGAAACATTCACACTTGTAGCAGAGAACTGTGTCATTCCAAGGGAGTACATAAATCGGGAGTACTTACTACAACTAGGGTTAACGTCTCAGCATTTTTACTACATCCTCTACCCTGTTCCTTTTGACTTTGGCACTGAATCTGTCTTCTGCTGGAAATTAACTCACCTCCCATTGGGTGGAGGCTGCTCAATGTGTTCAGGTTCCCAGATGAAGCAGCTGCTGTCTGCTGAAGGAGCTGCAAATAAAGCTAGACATTACACCAAAAAACAAAACAAGAGTGAGAGTGAGGGCTGGCTCCGCTTCTGGGAGAAACTGCATCACACCACAGCCAGAGCGCCGTCACACAGGAGTTCCCGCTGCCCATGCACCACGCCGTAGCAGAGGATGGAGAGAACTCCCCACACGCTGCAGCCAGAGCATCACCACCATAGGGTGCTCCACACTGCACATGCAGCACACCAGGAGACCAAAGCGAGAGCCCAAGGAAAGCTTTCCCCATTCGGTGTGATCAGTGCACAAGCCTCAGGGAAGTTAGTATTTAGTGCACCAAGACAAAAAACACCAGAACCAGCAGTGAGTAAGAATCCCCTTCAAAGCACCCCAGCCAGGAGAGCCATCACTAAGAACACACTACCTCAAGCCAGACTTTACAGCTGCTGTTACTAGCACAGGAAAGCTGCCAGATGCCATACCAAAACCGAAGAGCTGCTGCGTGAGGGGATTCCCTCAGCAGCCCTCAAGCACAAGAGCACAGCAACCACAGGAGGGAAATAATAAACCTCAGCTAACAGGCTATTTAGAGGGATTTCCCATTCCTTTCTCCATTAACTAGTTGTTGCTACAAAGAAATTCCAATGAAAGAAGGATTGCCTCCATTCCAGCAGTATGTCATAGCAAGAATGAGGCCATTTTTTTCTTTTCTGTTCCCCAAATCTTGATGTCACATGAGAACAGGTCTCACAGTCACCCTGACAATCCTTGTGAGTCAGAGAAAATAGTTTATGAAAAGTCCCCTCTTCAGAGACCAAGCAAAACCAACTCAAGGCAATGACAAACAGCAGACCCCTATCAAGTCACTTTTGCTACAGAGTAATTTCTCTGTATTTCCTGTATCTTTACTGTACATTGTGAGCTGCTTGGCACTTACACCTGACCTCCTTTTCTATTTACACAGCACCAAATAATGTACTAGGTCTCACTGGAAGAGGATGAGAAAAATAAATGCTGGAAAAGGAAATATGGAAGAGGAAAACAAAAGCTGTGTCATCAGATGGACACGAAAGGGCATTTAAGAATTACTGAATAAATACAGATGCCACAATATACGAGGAAAATGTTCACAGCACAAAGTCATTTTACTGAAGACAAGGAAAATATGTTTCTGTGTGCAGGGCTTCACGGACTGGGGTTAAAAACTTCACTGTCAGACACATCCTGAGTCACTGTTAGTACATAACTTTATTTCTTTGTGATTCAGCCTACCCAACCACAAAATGGGGATTAAGAACCCTGCGCCTCTCTACCAAAAGCCTTCCGAGAACGAACACATTAAACACTATATGACAATCAAACACCATAATCCCTAAAGATATTAAAAGAATCAAAGTTAGAAACTCACTGCTAAGTACTGGGGTCCAAGTGTGTTCAGACCAGCCAGGTTTCCCCATACAGAGGCAGCACTGATCTGTTGCATCTGTTGCTGGAGTTGCTGAGCAATTCGTTTCTGCTCTTTGTCCTTCTGTGTGTCAGCAAATTTTACCACAATGGGAGAAGAGCAACCCTGCAAATAGTAGTTCACACAGTTACCACCTTGCTATCCCTCTGGCAGTTGCAGAAATACTGCATTAAGACCCAATAATTTTTCTAGACTACAAAAGACTACAATAATTTTTCCCCCTACATATGCTCAGATAATATACATTTGATATTCTCATCTATCCAAACAACACTAAATTTCTAAAGGATTCTACGTCTCTTTTACTTTTAATGCTTATTTTTATTTTAGTATTTTCTCTGCAGATCAAGTTTCTATCTTGAACTCTAAAGATAGGAGCAGAGCAAACGCAAGAGGTTCAGAGGGAATACTTGTAGAGAGTATTCCATTACACTTTTCCTCCTCCCTGCTCCCTAGTCTCCTAAACTCCACAGTGACTGCCTGACCCATTACACCTTTTCCTCCCACTCACTAACTTAATTTACCTCCATGGTTTGTGCTTGGTGCATTGCTTTGATTGCTGTTTGTGCCATGGCTCTTGTTGTAAAAGTCACAAATGCACAACCTGAGAAAAGAAAGAAAACAAGAAAACCACCAAACGAGTCACTCGTTATATTCCCAACTATTGAGACAAAGAAATGCAAATGCTTGAGGGGAATAGAGGGTGGGTGGAGAAATCACAGCAACAGCTGAAATGCTACCTTGGGCTGCAAACAGCAACTGCCAGAGGAGAGCACGGAGAATTTTGAACAGTCAGAAGGGCTTCATGCTTACCTCGGCTGAGACCATCTGGGCCCCGTAATATTCTGCATTCTTCAATCTGTCCAAAGGAGGAGAACATCACTCGGATATCATTTTCATTGCACTTCTTGGATATCATTCCAATAAACAATTTCCTATCTTCTACTGCTAAGAAATCAAAAGATAAGAGTATTACTAACAAAGAAGCACTTGCATCAAGGCAGAACTCGGATCATGGTTTTCCTTGTATTGTAGACCCTTTTCAGCTTTACCGTGTTTTTTCTAATAGCTGAAATAATGAAAAAAATAAAAGTGATACACTTTAGTAAGGCAAAGCTGCCACAAAATAGCATTGCTAATGAGGCAATGGGGAAAAAACTGAAGACAACTTATGAACCTCGTTTTGTCAAAATGTCGTCTTTGACAACTGTAGGATTATTTCCCTTGTATTTAGAGTAGGGACTTGCCAAAATTAGATTCCCAGGAGTTAAATCTTTTCCATTTTATAGAATGTATGAGATACTTCAGTAAGCCTGCAAGGTGTTTTATACATATATTTAGGTAAAACTGTCTTCCTCACAAGCCTGTGAACTGCAAGTATGTAAGAAAACAAAAAACTGTATCAGAGAGATGCAGCACTTCCCTCGCCTTCTACTGTCCATTCCTCCTGGTAGGAGAGAGGAGTTGTATGCATTTTACTAGGCTACTTTCATCCTTTCTCCTCTGTCTCTTTTGTCTTTAGACTGTCAACACACCTTTCCTATATCTAAACAAGCAAGTTACCTGCAGAAGGCTTCTGTCTAGCCCTTTAGATTACCCTCTTCATCCAATCACTTAAACTTAGTTCTGCCTATTTCCTCATGATTCTGTCTCAACAGTGGAAGCAACAGCGACTGTTTTAGTTCCGCTTCATATTCATCCATTCTAATCTGTAGTAAGAGCATGAAAATGACACCTCGAATCAGAACGATGGACAGCTTGTGCTACTGGATCTTATCTCTAAGTGCAGAAGAACACCTTTCAGTGTGTGGACTACTTTAAAATAAACAGTCCAGACACAAGCATTTCTCCTAAGTTGTCAGTTATTGGTTACTGTTGTCAGTTAGATGTCAATTAGAGGGAGTGAGATAAATTCAAACCCAGAGCAGAACTTTATACCTCTCATTTTACTTGATTAAAAATGCCAATCACTATCTGAAACATCTATTTTTAAAGAGATGGAGCAAAGTATCCACAATAGCATTTGAGAATATAAGCAGTTTGCAAATACAATATTCAACACAAAATAAAGCATAGTATGATAAAGGACATTGCACAGCTTGAAGCTTCAAGGGAGAAAGTCTTCTATTCTGTGCAAAGGATAGGGGAAGGCAGAGAAATCAACTTATCCACTGCATTGTCTATGAGATTGAAGACGAAAATTTCACACTATTTCAGTTGACAAGACTTAAATCACAAGGATGTAGGCAACAATATACACTTTCTTGTGTGCACACATGTATGTGTATAACTTATGTACATATATACACACACACAAATCATCAAGGAAATACACATATAAATCAATATTTGCAGTGGTACATGTGAAACATCTTAATCCACCTGATGTACATAAGTATATTCACAGTTTTTTCTCTAGAAGAATATTTAGAACTCTTTCACCCTTGTATATTAGAAGATGATGTTTTGAGTCCCACTGAAGCTGCAACAGGCCTTGCTTCAAACTGGCAAAGCATTTAAAAAAAAAAAAAAAAAAAAAAAAAAGCCCAACAAATTTAACCCACCTCAGTACGTAGAAACAAGATTTCACCGGATGTTTCTCCAACTGGCATGATAGTTTTGCCATGAGCAACAGGAGATGCAGACTCATAGAATTTTAGAGACATCACTTACACTACCTGCTGTACTAATTTTTTTGTTAATCAATTCTGCAATTCATGAAGACTTCTACTGGAAGCTGTTCAAAAAAAGGAAAATCCTGAAGTTTCCCTGCCATCATGCCACAAAACTCAGACTGTAATAAGGCTTACCATTATTTTTTTCACTATCAGCTGGTTTCATCTGGATAGGATGGTGCATCTGGAATACAAAGAGAGCATTTAATCCTAAGCGCATTCACTTTATACTTTATGAAATACATCCCACAAGACTAGTGGTGAGCAAGAGAGGATGTTCTAGAGAATGCCATATGTGACACCACATACATTTCTGGAAGAAGAAAGAGCACTTTTCTTGTGTACTTCCTAATAATATGCCATCTTTCCTGCCCAGAAACTATTATCATAGGAGCCACACCACCCATTTAATTACAGTATTATTCCCGCATGCACTCCAAAATTCTTCTAAGATTTAAATCTCATAACCTTGCTCTTTCAGACTGCTCTCTTAAAACACAGCTTCAGAGAGTGAGATAATATATGTTTATACATCGTGGTGCCAGGGCTCAGAAAACCAAGTCAGAGAGGTGAAGAAAAATACGCCTTTTCTCTTACCCCTGGGAGGATCTTCATGTTGTGAAGAGCATTCTGTGCTTCTAGTGCAGCTTTACGGGTATAAAACGTAACAAAACAGCACCCTGCAATTGAAACAAAATGCTAGCCAAGAAAGAACACTATGTATCTTGCTGTTTTGTACAGAAATTATAAGTCCCACTTCTACCCCCCTCATGCAAAATATCTGGCAGGCATGTAAATAGGTGGGTATTACTGATTGTGACTGTTTACAAAAAGATTCCTGGTAAGATAAGTAATAAAATGGGGTTTATTCAGACTTGAGGCAACAACTCAAATGTATCTAAATGATTGTATGCTTTAATGATGTATCTGCCAAACAATTCCTGGCTAAAGCTATCATCTCTTCTATAAATAAGAACAGTATTTTGCTGCCCTGTGTGATGGTTCAAACCTCTTGCCAGCTAGTATGTTTTGAAAATGATTTTTTTACTCATCTCTTCTCATACTGACTCTACAATTGCCCAGCCAGTAATGACAACCAGAACACAGCTGGTCAGTATTATTTTTTTCCTACTTTTGGTCAGTAACATTGTCTCCTTTGGTCCGAATGCTGGAAACAGCTTCTGGTCTCCTCTGGATGGTCTTTGACATGCAAAGGGTTGCACTCCAACAATTCTCGAATGACTTATTTTGAAAATAAGAATGGCACCTGACTGAAAATTCTTGGTTCATTATATAAAGCACTTGTCTTCAAAACCGAGTACAGTTAATACAGTCATGATGTACACAAGCAAGCCCCAACCTTAAACTCTCTTTTGCTGCTAACATGCTGAAGACAAGACTTTGTTTTCTTATGGTGCCAGTGCAGAACTGCAAGTCAGCAGAGGGCACGTTCTTTCAGCTCCCAGATACCTCCTCCCTCTCTCTTCACAGAGGCTGGACAATATGTGTCACAGTATTCATGGCTCAGGTCTTATCCATCACCATTTCCATCCTATTTCTTTGCTTAAACGCCCTTTACTCACCTATTTAATAAGTCTTAGGGACTTGGACAGGAATTGCGTTAGTCAGAGTGCATGCTGAAGTGCAGGTTAATGTAATCTGCTTTACTAATTTTAAACCAGGATATAACTCTACAGCCTAGGCATGAACTTCAAAACCTCATTGCTCCTTGTTTGTTGTTTACTTAAGCTTCAAAGTCTAAGACAATGACTTTTTTGACACTGACCAGCAGCAATTATTCCCTAATAATTAATGATTAATCTGTGCCACCTTAGTTTTTCCTCAAATTCACATTTTAACTTAAAAGAAAACAAACAAACAAACTTTGAAACAGTAGAAATTGAAACAGACACGCTGATCAGCTGTAAACTTGGAGAGCATCTCACAACAAATCCCCCTTCTCATAAGTCATTTTATAAATACCTGAGAAAACACAAATGTCCAAGAACTTTTTGTATCTTGTCTAAAACGTTACATTTCAGTAACACTGTAACATGCCACAGCATCATAATGATGCTCTGAAGCAAAACAATGTTCATAAAATGTTCCTCTTAGCTTTTATAATCTACACTCTTCAAGCACTGCAGTTACTTCTGGTCTCCCAAAAAGTCAACTCGGTTTAACAACTGAGTCACAGTCCAAGGACAACTATATTTAGACACAAACAGTTCCAGACTGTAAAGTCAGGGCTTGCAGGCACACCTGGGTGCACAGAGCTCCAAGAGAAAGGGATGGCTGAATAAACAAACAAGGAAGAACATAACTGTGTGAAAGAAGTCAAAAACTTAAGTCTCACATAAGAAATTCTCACCTTTGCTTTGAGGAGGGTTTTGACTCCTATCCCGCAAGACATTGATTTCATAGACAGCACCATACTGTTCAAAGAGTTCTCTTAGATCCTTCTCACACCAGCTCCGTGGGACCTGACCCACAAACATTTTGATAGCATCTAGATCCGGTTGGTCTGGGTGATCCAGTGTGCCATTCATTTTCTTTGAGCTATAAAAAGCAACAAGAAATTTCTGTTATCTTTCCAGAGATTCAACATGCTTTTGCAGCTACAAGGATCATTGTAGAAACACAAAGAGAGATTGTGTGTGTGTGTGTATGTTGTATATATGTTCATTAATATATACATGCACGCACATGTGTGTATATATACACACACGTGAAAAGGGACTCTCACACCTTCAGAGTCGCACATATTGGAAAACATTCAGCAACATCACTCACATTCACTGCACAGCTGAACTTCTGTTTGCTCTTAGAATGCAGTCACCATTTAAGATTCAGGACATAAATCTGTTGTGAGGTTCAGGTCAACCACATGAAATTTTACAGATGAAGAAAGCAAAACAAAAAAGGAAGCTAAACTCACGTCTACTTGCAGACCACTCCTAAGTCATTAATAAGGGGTATTCATACAGTGTAAAAAAAAAAAAAAAAAAGATAAAAAGTATTTTTTGCTTAAATGTGACCATATGCAACCGTTTCCCAGGTTGAAGATCCATCTTGGAACAGAGAGCCCAGATGAAGAGGTGAGGAGTCCCATGTAAGGTTTACGGTAAGTATTTTGCAAAAATAGGCTCAGGTTATGGCAGAACTGGAGCAGGCTGGGCTTGGATGATCTATTTAGTCAGAGAGAATTGCATTGAGTAACAGTTCAGTGCTATCAGAGAAGAGTTATTTCTTAAGACTGCAGCAATACTGGAGTTTTGAGCACAGAGATTCAAGGCACCACATTAAGCAACACCAACAATTTACAGCCTCTTAACAAAACTGGCTACGTCCTGCTCTACACAACAAGCTGTCAGCCATACGCTGCTGCCTGTATTGACTCCTTGCTGTTTGCCAAGTGCAGCGCAAGGTCTTGTTATCAGTAGCCAAAGCCTGATATCCCACAGGAGCAGCCTTTGTGGGAGACTGTCCGCAACAACGTCCTACTGCAGCAAGAGTGATTGGTTTGATAAAACTGCTGACAACCCCTGCATAATCTAGAAGGGACATGGGAGGGGATCAGCAGCTACGGAATGATCTGCCTCCCTGCCCAAACTCTTTGTTAAAAGGTACAGGCAGCCTTCTTCCAGACTAGTCAGTTTGCTCTCTTTGCTGTTTTTCTTCAAAATGTTTTACTGAATGGCTGGCTAATTAGCTGCAGGTTATAGGAAACAGTGCTCCTCCCATCGCCCACTTGCAATCAAATTCTTCCCTGATATTAAGATTTCCCCAAACTAGGAAATTTAAAAATCATAATTTTTTTGGTCAAAATTCTGTTTTTGACCAAATCTGCAGATTTTTTTCCTCCCTCTTCTCCCTCAACATGCTGCTGTTAGAGTAGCTGCCAGAAAGAATGCTGTAATTCTCAAGCTCCACAAAGGGACCTCAGAACACCCAAGGCTTCCTACTAGACAGGTGAGGGAAATCATCATAAATCATTCACTCCTCCTGACCTTCCCCCTCAGAAAGAGCCAGCATCACCCCAAACATCGAAGCAAACAATACCTTCTACAAAGAGCTAAACTACTCACTTTTTCATAGGAATGATGAGCAACTGGAAATCATTTACCCTCCTCCAGCAGTAACTCACAGCACTGCCTTCTCTCCCATGGGCAGCTTCAAGAGTATAGGGTGGCTCCTGTTAACTGAGTGATTTTTAGCCTGACCCCAGCAGTATTTCAAGGATTTTTTTTCCCTAACTGTAATAGTTTTAATCCAGATTAAAAGTCATCAAGAAGGAAGAAGTAGAACTGTTCTCCCAACAGTGGATTCAACCACTGATTTCACAGCACTAGCACCTGTAGCATACACAGTACTGACAAACAGCTGTACTCCCTCATATAACCTCCTCCCCTAAATTAACTGACAGAACAGTACTTTTTTCTGCCCTGTCCGGAAACCAACATCAGCTCTCAATGCCCACCAGCATTTCTTCAAGAAAACACATCGCAAATTCTCCTACTCCTTTCTTTTTCCCCTTTTAAGGGGGGATTCATCAAGACAGCAAACACTTCAATTCCAACCATCAACATAATTTCAAAATTTGATGCAAGGACAGAAAATACTTACACAGGGCTAGCATTCAAGGAGCAATGGTCCACCATCATCTCTGGGAGGAAATCCAACTTGAACGCAGCCATCACCTCAGTCTGTCACAAACCACTAGCCCTAAATCAAGTATTGCCTAAACCCCAAACAACGCCACTTCCAAAAGTCCTGTAGGTCTTAACACTCAGCCACACAAAAAAACACTCAAATCACAGAAACAGAAGCTCGGGAGACCAGCAATAGACACCACAGAAACAGGCTGGACTGGGAAAGGGACATGGAATCCCAGATTAAAAAGGGGATGTGACCATGTGAAGGGAGGCTCAGCTCAATACACAATGAAAATGCTGATGCACTGGCCTTGTTTTGTGCAATTTTCCCTGGCGAAGCAGTACTGAGTGCACTGTCAGATAAACAGAGTGTCAGATCCATGAAGATAGCAAGGGGTGATAGAGCAGAAAGAATACAAACTCCAGCCTTTCCATCCCCAACTAACTCCTTACCTCCCAAAATGGCAGCCCAAGACCTTGAAGTCCAGACAGATCCATGCAACCAGTATTAGGATGGACTACTCACAGGATTAGAAAGTCAAGAAGTTCTTTATCACAAACTGACTCTTTTCATAGTGATCTCACTTACTATTTTTGAATCTCTACCAAATATTAGGAAGAGAAAAATGCCAGCCAAATGCTTCTCTGAACCTGTCCAAAAAATTTCAAAGCTAAGGAGATCCGATCACTCAAATACTCCCCAACTACCACAGAACATCAAGGACTACTTGTCTTTAGAGAACCAAAACATAGAATTATCTGGCAACAATACTTTGTCCTTTGTGCATTTACGTATCCAGATGTACAGATCCTGTAGTTGAAGAGAAAAATACGGGTCTAATGCTTACAGTACCCTTGTGTTTTGTTTCTGGCAGTAATTTGTTGAAACTGCCATGCAATTTTTGAAAACAGTGATCTTAACACCTCAACTTCTTCATGACTAGAATGGGAATTGGATGTGAGGGCGATCTGGCTGCGACATCTGTCATCCCATTGATCACCAGGGTCGATTCGGCTGATCTGGCTGGCTAGGCGGGTGTCCCCTTCCTCCCTCACCGCTCCACGTGCGTCCCTCCCGAAGCTGCGTGCTCGGTCGAAGAGGACGACCTTCCCCGATAGAGACGTACCGTTCATCGGTCAAGGGTACACGGTAGCTGCGCTCCCCTGCGAGAACCTCCAAACAAGCTCAAGGAATAACGTGTTGATTGAAGGATTATGAGGTATAGTATTTATATGCATAATATAGGCCTACTGCTAAGTCTTCAGTCCCTGAATAACTGCGGAGATAAGCTAGATAACACCGAAAGCATCAAGAGATGCAAAAACATTTGATAGCAGTCAGTTAGCCAAAAAACATTTGATGGCTGCAGGGCCAGCTGGGTGTCTCTGAGCACTCTAGAAGGGATGATTATTTCAAGTCCCACAGGAATCCAGGTAAGTCTGCGCAACACAGGCAACTGCTGAATTGCATCCAGGAATACACTCTATGGGCAACTATCACCACCTTCCTTGCGTGTGTCTGCAGCATGTATCTGTAGTTATCTAGACTGGCTAAAACACAAAACTTTTTTTACAACTGAACAGATACAGCACCAGAGCTTTCTTACATAAACAACTGTTTCCAACATGTACAAAAAGAACATTTCCCACCTTCTGCCTACAGACAGGTACGTAAAAGGAATTAGGTCTCATAATACAGAGATATAAGCAAATTACTGTAAAATAAAGAAGGATATACATTTATTAGATGATTAAAAAGAACTCCTTCATGCCTGCTCCTACACTACAGGGTAAATGCAAGAAAACTTATTCTTTAATAAAAAGGTGCAATTGACCCACTATGTGCATTGCTTAGAGCACACAAACAGGTGCTGTAGGGCACAGGTCAATCTATTAGATTTTAGTATGTTATGTCCACCTTCAGACCCATCTTACTTGGAGAAAAGCCACTGTTTATAAAACTGTTCATATTCAAATGACAGGTTTAGTCTAGAGTCTCCTTTATGAACTTCTCCAAGGTGAAGCCAAGAAGGGAAAAAGACTTGAGACTTATTTGGTTAGAACAGGAGAAGTTACAATGGGAATTCTGTAGTTCAGCAGTGCAAATTCTAGTCACACCAACGAAGAGATAACAGGTCACCTTCTGCCACCTGTAGCTGTTTTAAGCAACAACTGTGCTCACTGCATGATCAATTAAAGATGAGACTGGCAACAGATACGCTAGAAATTGTGTTAAGAAATTACTGAGATTTATTAAAGAAAACAAACAAACAAAAACAACAAACAAAAAACCCACCAGCCATTTACTGGCCTTGTTAATAATTAAAACCTTAGTATAGGGTGATTATCCAGCTACACAGTAATTTCTAATTCTTGATCTTCAATTTCTAATTCTCTCATTGCATTTAATGAACAGGTGCCAAAGTTCTGTACAGTTTGGAGGAAGGAAGAACTGATATTAGAATGAACTATGGGGGTATGTTAGCTCAGACTCTATGCATCAATGAAAACCACTTTTCTGGAATAATGAGGCAAAGTTCAGTGACAAAACACTAGTGTACAAAACACTCCTGTTTTGGGATTATTTAGGTGAATGCATCACCTCATGTGACACTAAAATACTTACAGATTTTGCTTGTAAAAATATCTGAAGTGGGAAAAGAGGATATTTCACCACTGGGTACAAATTGAAAGAATTAAATGAGAAGTTGCATTATTTTGGAATTAAATAAAATGAAACAGCCACCCTAGCTATTGCTCACAAAGAAAGAAACAAAACTAAGAGAGCTAGACACACTTATTTTTTGCTCTGATGGTCA